AGAAGTGCCGAGTGGATGATCTATCTCAGTCTCCTCCAGTGGTCCCCAGCATTACAGATGCCAGTCTTGAGCCAATTCAGTTCACTCCACTTGATATCAAGAAACGGTTGGAGACACTGCATTCTGCAAAGGCGACAGGCCTTTTCAATATTCCGGCAATAGTATTGAAGACTCATGCTCCAGAACCTGCTGCTCCCCTAGCCAAGCCGTTCAAGTACAGTTACAAAACTGGCACCTGTCTGACAATGTGGAAAATTGCCCAAGTATATACTGGACATAAAAACCAGGAAAGATCCAACCCGGTCAATTACTGTCCCATCTGTCTACTCAAGATCATTAACAAAATAATGGAAGGTGACATCAACAATGCTATCAACCCACTCAGCACTAACCTGCTCAGTGGTAGGAGCAAATTACTGCAGATGCTGGAATCTGTACTGAAAGCAAAAAATACCGGAGATCACAGTGGATCAGGCATCTCTGTCCATGGAGAGCAAGCTAATGCTTCAAGTCCAAATGACTCTTCATCAGAACTGACATGAAGTGTGGCGGGATCAACATTTATGCAATAGTTGGGTGGGGAAGGTGGAGTTGTGGGGGAGAAAGGAGTGTTGATAGTGCAGATTAAGTAATTAGAATGTGAGAATGGCCGACTGCAAAGAACAGAGAGTCCTACAAGAGTAGGGAGAGGGGAGAGAGGACATGGTGACAGAGAATACAATCAGTAAAGCTAAAAGAAAGGAAAGGAATAGGATTGGATTCACAAGCTAAAGGTGCTGAACTCAATATTAAGTCCAAATAAGTGCCTAGGTTGAAGATCAGATATTGTTCCTCCAGTTTGCTCTGTGATTCGCTGGAGCATTGCAGCATGCCAAAGCCAGACAAGCGGGCATGTGAGCAGGATGCTGTGTTAAAATAATGGGAAGCCTGACCCACTGTGATCTCCAGCATGTTTTGTTTTCAACTTACTCAGTGATGCCCAGTTTGGGTTCCACAAGCGCCACTTAGCTCCTGACCTCATTACAGTCTTGGTTCAAATATGAACAAAAGAACTGAATTTCAGAGGTGAGGTGAGAGCGACAATCCTTGACATCAAGGCTGCATTCAACTGAGTGTGGCATCAAGGAGCAGTAGCAAAACTGGAATCAATGGGTATCAGGGCAAACTCTGCACTGGTTGGAATCATACCTGACACATAGGAAGAAGATGGTGGTTCTTGGAGGTCAGTCATTTCAACTCCAGAACATCTCTATAGGAATTCCTTAGGATACTGTGTTTGGCCCAATTACCTTCAGCTGCTTAATCAATTGATGTTCCCTCCATTGTAAAGTCAAGAAGTGGGAATGTTCACCAATGATTACGCAATGTTCAGCACCATTCTCAACTCCTCAAATACTGAAGCAGTCCATGTTCAAATGCAAGAGGATCAGGACAATTCCAGGCTTGGGCTGACAAGTGGCAAGTAACATTCATGCCACTCAAATGCAAGGCTATGACCATCACTAAAAAGAAATAATGTAGCCACGGACCCTTAGCATTCAATTGTGTTACCATCACTGAATCCCCCCACTGTCAACATCCTGGGAGTTATCATTGACCAGAAACTCAACTGGACTCGCAACATAAACACAGTGGCTGCAAGAACAGGTCAGAGGCTAAGAATACTGTGACAAGTAACTCACGTCCTGACTCCCAAAGCCTGTTCACCATCTACAAGACACAAGTCAGGAGTGTGATGAAATACTCCCTGCTATCCTGCATGAGTGCAGTTCCAATAACATTCAAGAAACTTAACACCAACCAAACAAAGAGGCCACTTGATTACTACCACATCCACAAGCATCCACTCCCCCCATCACTGAAGCTCAGTCACAGCAGTGTGTACTATTGACAAGATGCACTGCAGAAATTCAGATCAACATTTAGAAGGACAAGGGCAGCGGATACATGGGAATTCTACTGCCTTCAATTTTCTCTCCAAGCCACTTATCCTTCTGACTTGGAAATATACTGCCGTTCCTTCATTATCACTGAGTTAAAATTCTGGAATTCCCTCCATAATGGCATTATGGATCAAACCACTGTAGCAACAAATGCTGGCCAGCCAGTGACACTCACATCCCACAAATGAATAAAAAACAGTGGGACTAGATCAGATTGGGATGTCTGATCAGCGCAGATGAATTGGACTGAAGGGTCTGTAACCATGCTATATATCTATATGACTTGCCTCTTTTTACTGACTCTTTAGTTGAATGGATAATTTGAGTATTTTGTATGTTATTGTCTCACCTTGTAAATATTGATGCTTGGCTGCAAATAAATGTACAAATTTTAATGTTATCACACACCATGCTGAGATGATACAGTTGACATGGCTAAACACAAGATTGGAAAGTTTGTTTCAGTCTGTATCTATTGCCTGTTTTCCTTTCTGTACTTCCTGTATGAGCATTGTGAAGCCACTGGTGGCTGTGTTAGTGCCAACGAAACTGACATAACATTTCTCACCCATTCTAACTTCTCATTTTGGGGTTTGTTGGCCAACATTTTGTCTACACTCATAATTAACTCTGTTGTCTTAACATGAGGATCCATGTCTAATCATCATGTTCTCTGCTGATTATCCCACCATTTTCACTGATTTGATAAATGATTTCCAATTGTTCTTTATCCTTTTGTATATTTATTTCTTATTTTTGTCAGCCAAACACCTCAGGGATGTTAGGGATACCTCCAGGCCCCACTCAAGTTCTTGACTACTGGCTATTTCTGAGTAGGATAGTTGGGGTATAGTTATCACCAGACCAAACTCATTTCTTGCCACTTATGTTGAATATAATCATAATAAATTATGTGTTTCCACCCCACTTTACTATTCTTTGAACTATTGCCTGGAGTCTAGGATTTCAAATATGCCTGACACTTCCTGGGCTAGGACAGAGTTGTATTTCAACTGAATAGGAATGTACTTGCACTGTGAATCATTCCAGTTCCACTTTGGTGTCCTGCGTCCTTTGTCCTTGCCAACTATGCCAATTGAAATGTCTGAGAAATACTCTGTTGTAAAATTTCAGCCCTCAGAATCTGGTTGCAATCACAGAATCCCTACAGTGTGGGAACAGGCCCTCTGGCCCAGCAAGTCTACACCAACCTTCAGAGCATCCCACCCGGACCTATCCCCCTATAACCTACACATCCCTGAACACCACCAGCAACTTAGCAAATCCACCTAGCCTGCACACCTTTCAACTGTAGGAAGAAGCCAGAGCACCTGGAGAAAACCCATGCAGACACAGGAAGAATGTGCACAAAGAGGGTCCTGAGGGTGGAATTGAACGCAGGTCCCTGGTGCTGTTAGACAACAGTGCTAACCACTGAGCCACCATGCCACCCTAGCCTACTGCACCTGATATTCCCAGGTGGTCTCCCATCCAAGTACTAACCAGGCCTGAGTCTGCCTCTGGGTGATCGAAGGGCTCATTCACTTTTTATACTAGTCTGAAAATGCCTGATCTTGTCTGATCTTGGAAGCTGAGCAGGCTCAGGCCTGGTTAGTACTTGGATGGGAGACCACCCGGGAATACCAGGTGCAGTAGGCTAGGGTGGCCAGGTGGCCTGGTGGCTCAGTGGTTAGCACTGTTGCCTCACAGCACCAGGGACCTGCGTTCAATTCTGCCCTCAGGTGACTGTCTTTGTGGAGTGTGCACACTCTCCCTGTGGGGTTTTCTCTGGGTGCTCCAGTTTCCTTCCACAGTCCAAAGATGTGCAGACTCGGTAAAATGGCTTTATTACACTTTTGGGGAGTCAACACTCAACACTATAGGTGCTTCTCCACTGAGGTTCAAATGAGCATAATTTATGTATGTTTTATTTTTAGTTACAGCTTAATGTTACTCAGTAGACAAAGGCCATAGCACAGTGGTTTCTTTTGGGCTGATAATTGTGTTCCTGTATAATAACTGCATTTCAGGGAATTGGTATTGTCCTTTCAGAAACAGTTAAGAATTTGTGTATATTCTGCATAAAAAGTTATTCTATGCATTGTTTGTGTGTCTCCCATTACTTTATTGAGTCACCCTGCATCATGGTTTGTGTATGCTTGTGCCCTGACTGCTGGTCTTGACTGGCACTGTAAAATTAGTCCAAATTTGTACCTTCATTGTAATAAAATGCATCACTTTTTTCAAAGCCGCCAAGAAGTAAAGTATATCACTTGATAATAATTTAATCCACAACTAAATCTTTCATTCAATGTATGTGTAATTGTACTACAAATGTAGTATTTGGTATTGTGGAAGACTTGATGCACTGGAATATGATTAAACCCTATCAAACATACAAGCCAGCTATGAATAAGTTGAAGCTGGAACAGAATTAACTTTGATTTTTTTAACTGAATCAATATAATTTGTTTAAAAAAATCAATCTGAGAAAACCATTTTTTTTGTCATGTTACATTGTGTGTTTCTTGTCACCCTAGCAGGTTGTCAGGATAATATCAATATCTGTTGCTGAGTTGTATGTTTTGTAAATCTGTGTTAGATGTACAGAGGAAACACTTAGTGATGTTTCTACGTTACCTCATGTTGCAACATGTTATAATTGAATTTGTGAATAGGAGCAGACATTTTGCAAGGAACTCCCACTGGGACATCATGAAGTTTTGCTGCACTAACATTGTGAATGGGATTGTCACGAGAAAAAAAACTTCATGGAGTTATGCAAAAATACCTGCTTTCAGACTGCCTTTGATCAACCATATAAGAACATAAATTATGATATGAAATAATGACGCAATCAGTAACTATAGTGATAACTTCCTCTATAATACTGTGACAATTCTTCCCCTTTAGGGTACTGTGTAGAGTAATAATTATCTTGTGGAAAAATAATGGTTTTGATCAAGCATGAATTGTGGGAAGTACACTCAAATGTTTCTTAGAAGACTGATGAGTTTAGCTTCAAACCTTAAGATGAATGATGTATTTATTTGCCAGCAAACGTCCTAAGACGATCCCTATTGATGACAGCATAGACACCAGTCCAACAGAATTCTATCCTTCTCCCAGCTCACCAACCAGCGTCAGCCGGACATGGCACGAAAGAGACCAAGGTTAGTTCTCGAAATGAGCGTGATGAAGTTTAATGTGTGTCGCTAATGACTGAAGAATCTGCACAAATAAATGGAATGGAGCAAGATTAAATGTAATGATTGAGCTGAATTTTACATCTGGGGTTGATACATACAGCATGTTCCAGTGCAACACCCCCTCCACCCATGCACTATTGTTAAAGGAAATGGATTGTTGGAAGGCCAAGTTGCGGCCTTGCTGCACAGTGAGGGGTGACAGGCCAGTATTGAAGCATGTGGAAATTCTCTTGTCCTGAAAGTACAGCACGGCAAAGACACATCTGATATTTAATTTATTTCAATGGAAATATCGGCCAATAAATGTGATCACAATTGTATGGTGTTTGCCTCCTTCCTCAGTATCCAAGGGCCCAAACATACCTTCCAGGTAAAGCAGCACTTTTCCTGCACTTCACACAATCTAGTCTACTGCATTCGCTGCTCACAATGTCATCTCCTTCACACTGGGGAAACGAAGAGTAGACTAGGTGACTGCTTCGCAGAACACCTACATTCTGTCTGCAAAAATGACCCTGAGCCTCCAGTTGCCTGCCACTTCGACATACTACCCTGTTCACTGGCCAATATGTCTGTCTCAGGCTTGCTGCAGTGTTCCAGTGAAGCTCAGTGTAAACTGGAAGAACAACATCTCATTTTCCGCTTGAGAACCCTGCAGCCTTCTGGACTCAACATGAAGTTCAATAACTTTAGGGCTTAAAATCTCCTACGTCCTAGCCCCCACCCCCACACTCCAGGCCTTCTTATCACATAGTCTGCTATTACACACAACCCATTTTTAGCCACTAACAGTCTCCATCAACAGCTATTCACCCTCCAAGCCAGATCGTTATCCACTCCTTTGTCTGTTCTTCTCTCTCTTTGGGCTCTATTCCCACCTTTGTTTACTCCTTACCCCCTCCCCCACCTTACATCCTGCATAAAAGCCAACATTTTCCTAGCTACCATCAGTTCTGAGGAAGGGTCACCAGACCTGAAACATTAACTCTGATTTCTCTCCACAAATGCTGACAGACCTGCTGAGTTTTTCCAGCAATTTCTGTTTTTGTTTCTTTCTACCCCTGTTAGTTTTGTTTATATAACTCCAGTTAAAATTTAATAAGGACATTTAATAGAGATGCTCAAAATCTTGAGGCACTAGTCAGAGTAAATTGATGCCGATGCAATTTGTCTGGATTCTCAGAAGTCCATCGATAATGTGCCTCATAATTGACAAGTGAATAAAGTCAGTAAGTGTGGAGCCAGGACAAGTGGCTAAACGCATTGCAAGTTTAAAGGCTAGTTCTTCATAGTGATTGAAGAGAGTGTTCAATTAGAGCCAGTACTTCTGTTATCCACAATTTACATGAATGATTTTGACTTTTTGGAATCAAGAATACAATTTCTAAATTTGAGGAAGGAACCAAGTTCAGGGGAATAGATTTGGTGTTTCAAATATAATCAACTGCTCAAATTTCTTTCTAGTGGAATGGATTTATAAAGTAGAGAAGATATACTTGAACCTAGCAACACTTGAGAAAACTGCAGGCACATCAAACAGTGGGAAGGAACCAGAGAGGATTTCCAAGGATGCGTGGGTTTATATATCATGGCAAGATTGAAGGCCTGGGACTCTTTCCTTTTGAAAAGTGAAAGATGAAGCAAAGGAATACAAGATGAGTGATAGGACCAAGGATCAGGGAAAACTTAGTCTGCATGTACACCAGTCCCTTAAGGACAGGTAGATAAATTGGTTCAGAAGACATATATTTGCCTTTATTAATCAAGGCATAGTGTTTAAGAGCTGAGAAGTTATGCTGGAACTGTTTAAAGCATTGGTTAGGTCACACCTCGAGCATTGTGTGACTGGGTTGTTTTCATTTGAGCATAAGAGATTGAGAGGGGCCATAACTGAGATGTATAAAATTATGAGGGGCATAGATAGGGTCGACAGGAAGAATTTTTTCCTCTTGATAGAGGGATCATTGGCCAGGGGACATAGATTTAAGGTAAGGGGAAGAAAGTTTGGAGGAAATATGAGGAAAATCTTTTTTATCCAGGGAGAGGTAAGAATCTGGACTTTACTGCCTATGAGGCTGGTGGAGGCAAAGACCCTTATAACATTGGAGAAGTGTTTAGGTGTGCACTTGTGACGTGAAGGCATGCAAAGCTATGGACCTAATGCTAGAAAATTGGATTAAAATAGTTAGCTGTTTATTTTTGATGAGTGTGGACATGTTGGGCTGAAGGTCCTTCTGTGCTGTAGATCTCTATGACTCTAGGAAAACTGAGTGGAGCATAAACACCGGCATGGATTGGTTGGGACAAATAACACGTTTCTGTGCTGTCGATCCACAAGAGAGAAACTTTACCTAATGACACAAGTCTCTAATTGTGGTGTAACCATCTGCTGGTTCCATAAAGATATACTAGGACAGGTGACAGCCAAATGGATCAAAGGCATGGGTTTTAACAAGTGTCAATAGAGTGGACAGAGTTAGAAAGGCAGAGAAGTTTCAGGACTGATTTCCAGAGTTCACATCTTGACAGCTGGAGGCTCAGCTCCAAAGGTAAAACATTTAAAATCAGAAATAAAGAATTGCAGAGAGATCCTGGGTCCAACCTGTCACTTTTAAAGGCTTCTAGAACTGGACACCCTCTGCAAACATTTAGCTCTTCGTGTGTTTGTCAAAATTAAAAAATTTCCCCTTTTTGCTGCAGAGAACTGGCTCTTTAACAATTTAGTATGTTCATAGTTTTGTGAAACAGTGTCATTGGCCCCAGAAAAGTAGCTTTATGACTATTCAAAATCAAAATTTTTAATTATAATATGAATTTCATCTATTAGTAACATTTTAAAACTTCTTCTTTTCATTTTAGCTTCTATGTTAATTTAATATGTAAATACCCTAACTGTCTGCTTGAAACTCCACAAACGTTTACTTCCTGATTTGATGTCTGTGAGAATACTTGCATACGATTGGCTGCTTATTGACAATACTGGTGCTAGATGAATTGACATCAAGCAAGGGGAAGTCCGTAGCACAGATATCACTAGATCCTTGTGGATGGCTTTCTTCATGGTCATTGGCAAGTTGTTTTGTAGCTGGCAACAAAATCAAGACCTATATACATTGCAGAGCTTGTTACCGATTCAAAGTTTGTCATATATAATTTAGTGCTACTTTTTTTTTGAATTTTTGTTTATTTGCCTCAGTGCTGTTTTAAATGTATGTTGATACTTTGTCACATCTGGCTGAAGACAGTTTGCAGGTGTTCAGGTGAATGTTCTTGCTTGTTTGGGCTAACAAGATTATATATCTGTTTAACATGTTACTAATAATCTAAATGCCATTACATTCAGAGCTTGAAGATGACATCCAGGTGCAGAAACAAAGGTGGGGCAGTCATTTGATGTAGGATTTTCTCTTTTTTTTGAAAAAGAGGCTTGCATTTTATTAATGTGATTTAAAGGCTTGAGTTCTTCTCAGCAGTTTTTTTATTTGGGAATTCATTCAAGTGTGTTTCCGAATACAATGCATTTACTCACAATAGGTTTCCCGTCTGTGTGACTCAGCATAGGCACAGATCCTCTTTAGCCAGAGATTAGCTAGAGAAAGTTTAAAACTTGTGAAATCAAGAAACGTTTTCCCAGTAAATCCACTGAAAAGCAGACAGTCACTTCCAGTTACTTGTAGTTAAGATCAACGAAATTCAGTTATCGGGTATATCATGCTGTTGATTTGTTGAGCTCTATACTTCATTGCAGTGGTCTATCACAATTACAGTGAACTTTTATAAATATATTCATATCAGCTAATTGCATTTTAAAATACTCAATAGTGTCTGTAGCATGGAATTCTTATTTATTACTTGGCATATTGGTACAATGCAGAGAGTTATGTGTGATTGAGAGTAACGTGAAGGTCTTTCTCTCTGTCTTAAATGATGACTCCTTAGTGGATTTTGACTTCTTTTACATGTCAGGCTTTATTCTGCTAAAAGCAAATGATTAATTAGAGTTAAGAAAGAAAAGCCAAAAGATAAAAGAGTTAAAACTCCTTATGGGGTATGACAAATCAAGTCTTGGTGCAACAAAGTGCACCAGTTTCACTTATGTTCTTTTCTCCCTTGGAAGCTTTTCTGTTTTACAGAAATGGTTTTGCTCACATTGTTTTGACTGGAAGAGAAATGTGATTTGCTTTTTTGGATGCAGTTTGTAATGTTTCAAAAATATCAGTGTTGATTTTGGAGAGACCATTCTACAAGCAATTAGTTAAGATGCAATCTACTACTATAAACGTTAAAGAGACAGGGGCATCTTGTGTGGAAATAATTGGCTGGTTTGTTATAGCTGAGTCTACTATATTTGCTGGTGGCTGTAGTCAGCTAGAATGGAGTCCAGTGACTCCAAAGTGTATATTGATAGAATGCTTAGCAACCTGATTCTTCAATGGAAGCTTCTGTCTCAAGATCCCACTGTGTCATAATATAAAAATGCTCACACTCACAGTGGGCTTGCTGTCGAGTACCAGGCTGTGTTGTGCTCAAGAAGCAATCTATTTAAATTTCTCGCTGTAAACAAACCATCATGATAAAAGTGTCCCTTTTAAAGCTATATCATGTTGCCTCATCGTACAAATATGGAGACTGCTTGTTAACGGATAGAGTGGAATGAGTCAATATTAGATCAGGCAAAAATTGATGTTTATAACTTCTGGTAATAATTTAAATGCTATTGACAGCATCTAATGCCAAAATTGATGGACAAAAGTTTTTTTTTAATAGAAATAAAATAAACAGCTACATAAAAGAGCTCTCCCAACCCAAAGAATAGCGCTTACATGTTGTACAGCCGATTATACATAACAAAACTTTTTGATATAAAAGAGACTTGCTAGGGCTGAATAATAATTACTGGCGCATACACTAATATACCCTACCTGTTATAAACCTTGCACAAAAGATATTTGTCAGTGAGGCAC